GATTTTATAGTGGACTTTTTTTATAGAGCCAATGGCTAGCCTACAGCTCCGGTACCTATCTGGAAAATGGGGAGGGTACTGTACGTGCACCCGGGGCGGCTCACCCGCGGCACAAGCCTCTTGAGAACCGGATGAAGGCAGTGACAACGGGCTGTGACAACCCTGTACACTGGCTGATCTGGGTCAGAAACTGAACTTAGAAGGTTCTTGTGCACGCACAGGTTATAGTGCCGTTCTGGTATACCCGAAAGGTCGGTAGGGAGAGTCACTATAAGTAAAACTTATGTAGAAAGGTACGGGCGCTGCTATTCTTGCACAGATATCGCTCTCGCTCATGTCGCAACCTGCTAGCCCAACTGATGATGACTTTCTGCTTCACTGTTAACAAGAGATATTCCTACTAAAGGCTCACAAATGAAAGTCCTATATAAATGCCGCCACAGTGACCTCTTAATTAAGAAATAACCATTCTCTCACAACTAAATAAAGTTCTTAGGAAACCATTTCCACATGTAAAGGGTGCTATTTTAAACCGTAGATAATCTACTAGCGTTAGACTTAAATTAATTCATTATACGAAATCTCAGATCGGACAATTCACATAGGGAAATGTGAACAACACTTAATTGTGGCGTATTCGGTTCTCGTGAGTGAGATAATCGGTTCGCCATTAATGATTTCAATTTAGAAGGGCAAGATGCAAATTTATTTCGCAAGGGCCACGGTATACCACGCGTGACTACAGTTCTAATGAATTGAGCGACCCGGGTTTAAGCAGCTCTGACGTCTTCAAGTTTATTACCTAAAAAAGAATAAAGTATGCGCCAATGTTTAAGTTTTTAAGCGATACTTAATCCCTTTGGGTTGGAGCTTACGATAATTTAAATACTGATCGTGTTAGCTAGAGGGTTTAAATTTCGAAATTTAGGAGAGTGCTTAGTGTTCTTGAACGATTATAAAATGACTAACTAAGAGCTTAAGCCTGGAATTGATTGTCCAAAAAGGGCAGAATTTATAGACCGGCCCGAAAAACAGCGAATAGCGTCAAGAAAAAACACAAAACCTGTTTTAAGAGACGTATCCTGTAAAATCCGCGGACGAAAATAAGACCAAGTTGCGTACAAGAATCACTGATTGTATAAAGAGGTGAGACAAAGGGACGGCGAGGGGTTGAAGCCGGCGTGGTGCGGGGGAGCGGCAAGAGGGACCAGTTACACAAACAAAGACTGCCGGGCATGTCTTCGAATGAAACTGTATATCAATCTCCGAGCGTCAACGGATCTGCCCAAAACGACGGGCGAAAAAACGTCCCAGCAAAAAGTCGGGGCAAAAAATTCGACAATGAAAGGTTCAAATTGTTGTGAGAACTGCCAATTAAAAATTAATAGATGTTAACCGATTTTGGCGAGCTCTCTACTTTTGGGAATATCATAGATATAAATGGATATGAAATATGGGTATTTGCGAAATTTTATTATAAAAAAAATAGGGGTAGCTTTTTCGTGAGGGGCCCTGGGTTCAAATCCGGGCTTGCACCTCCTTTTTCGGAATTTACATGCGCAATTTAATTAGAAATTTTCCATGAGCTTTTCGGTGAAGGAAAATTCGTGTGGAAACCTCCACATATCGTCGGTGTTGAGTAGACAGGGCGAAATAGCCATTTCTAAAAAAAAAAATTAGGCTTTATGTTTTAGGTTTTAACGATTGTTTTGAAATATTTATGCCCTGTTTTAAAATTTATACTTACTTAAAAGCAAAATAAAATTTTAAAACGGAGCGTAAATAATTTAAAACAGTCGTGAATAACTGAAATATTTCTACCTTTCAAATTTTTTCGAAATGGCGCTTTCGTCTGTTTCGCCCTGTCTACAAAATATCGATGATATGTGCAAAGAAATTTAATCAAGTGTGTCAAGTTCCTAAGGTCCCTTATTGTAAGAAGAGGCCTGTGCTCAGCAGTGGGACTATATCTACGATAACTACGCTGTAGGGTTCTTTTTGTACTGAGCTTGCGATTTACTTTCGACGCAACCAATTTATTTTACTTCAGTTGACGTTATTAAACAGTCGCGATTGGTCACATTCATTGTAACTTTTGTTTTTAAACTGTGAATAAATCTTTAAATTCTCTATGCTCGCACATTTTCAACTAACTTAGCTAACTATAACCGAGAAGTCCAAGGCCATACACTGACTATTATTATTACATTTCAATAAATAAAAATTAATCATAAGGTAACATCTTTTAACGACGACATTTCTGAATTTGTGAAATAAAATCAAAATTAAATCTAAGCTGCATTGGAAGCTATAGCGCATTCTCATTGTGGCTATGCCCAACAATGGGACTCTATACAGGCCATCTATTATATTTATTAGCATAAACGTTACAAAGACTAGAATATACCTAAATGTTTTTTTTATATTTAAATATTCGTCGTCATACTCCTCAGCACCACTTGCCTATTCTGCCCTTGGAACGAAAAAAGGTACAACTGTCGTATACAGCACGCATATTTGTGCCTTTTTTCGTTATGAGGACAGTATTTCTGACAATTTATGACATCACGGCTGATGATAGCCTAGTGGCAACGTGTATTTATTTCTTTATTTTCTAACTTACGTGCATTGCTAAACATTCAGCAGCAATATCTCTAACTATGACTGAAACTAGCATGTTAAAGAAGGTTGACAACCCCTAGATCGTGTAAAGTGTGTGCCTGTATCTCAATTCACCTTTTATTGTGAACAAAATGTACCCACAATTCCCAAAGGAACCCAGAAATGCCTTAAAAGGAAAGCAGGAAGGCAATGCTCATTTCGCGAGCAAAGTCACGCGGCACAATAACTCATCTTTGGCTCTAAAGAAGACATAAGCGCTTTCCGAGTTTCACGTTGCACGTCGAAAGTAAAATGATATGAGAATAAATATTTATGTTGACCGTAAATAGTGCTTGGTCAATTTTGTTTGATACCCACAATCTAGGAAAATTGAGACGAGTGGGGTCACTTTTGTTGGGACACACGGGCACGTTGTGTAGAGAACATTTTTTTTATGGCACTAAGTAACGGGAAGAACAATACGTGCGCCTGATGGTAAGCGACTACCTGTCCATAAAAGTTGCAGTACCACTCAGAGTTTTAAATTTCAAAGATCTGAGAGGCACTGCCACAGCGTCCTACACCCTGGGACATAAATTTAAAAATCCTATGTTCCTGTAATTTCACCACCACCCGTCTTCACCACCGGTATGCAGTAATACTTACATTACTGCTTGGCGGCAGAAATAGGTAAGGTGTCAGTACGTCACAGGACTCTTTCGCCAGAAGCTCTACTGTAACTGTACTTTATCTGTCTTAAGCTTTTAATTAGGGCTATCAGAGGAAAAGTGTAAATGTATCATCATCATAGACAGTCTAGTTTCACCCACTTCTGGGTATGGGTGTCCCGAAATTTGTAAAATATCTGATACCCCATCTTATCTCCGCAACGTCCTACCTGAGTGCGAAGTCGATTCAATAACTTCCACACGGGTCACCGCAAATCGTCACCTGGTGGTAGTTACTCTTGACGGATAATGACGCCAGGTGGTGGGATGTTTACTACATTCGTGTGGTACACGGGGAATTTGGTGGCCATATTAAACAGTTACTCTCTTGTTTATAGTTCTGCGCAGAGCGTGCTACATACCGATGCACTTATGGTGATGGAATATTTGCTAGAGGGTAAACATATTGAGGGGAGTTGGCTTCAGATAGGTGATCAGGCGTACCGAAACACACTTCAAGTTTGCCATTGCCTTCAACCGTATGCGTCAAAGAGTAAAGATATTCAGAGGCTGCTCTGCGAAGCGCTATTTTGTTGCATAGTATTGTATCCTACGATGCTATCACAGTACATTGAGATAATCACACTGTTCGTTTACTTCACTTCGTTTTAGATGCAAACTTCATCTTCGTTCACATGTTACATTTGACTATAGAACTGTTTATAAATTGTGTGTAACATTGTGACATTCAATCAATTTAAAAATTCCAATTAATAAAGCGACGTCTTTAGTGAGCTGCTTTAAAGGTGCCTGACTGAGTGAAGAAATTGATTTCTCACAGATGGCGTTACGTTAACCAAAAAAAAATCGTTAAAAACCAAAATCAAAGAATTGGCAACAAGCACATAAAAAAATTCTTAACGATCGCCAGTTCGTTCCGTGGCTTAGTTGGCATAACGTCTGGCATGGTTTACTGGAAGACGTTATCGAATCTAGCTGGATCGAAGGAAGTGTTCGATCTTTGTATTAATAATTAAACTTTATTTGATATAAACCAATTTTGTACGTAATTTTTTATTCTGTTTAATCACATTCCTTCCAAATTATGACGCTTCATTATTGAGGTTACAATATACATATCGTATCCTTGATATAATAAAACCACATGTGATTATACATCAAAAGTGCTTTTATAACATTAAAGTCTTAAAAAATAACACAAACGACAATCAAATTATGTATATGTGAAATTTTAATAATATAATATTAAATTAATTTCGATCATAGAATCTTTAAACTTCTGTTCTGAAAATTTATGATTTTGCAGTTGTGACCTTATTACACTAAGGTTATAATATTTTTGGTTTAATAACACTTTTGTTTCGAGTTTCTTTTATAAAAATATCAATACGAGGTGGCAAAGTCAGGTATTTCATATAAGGGCGAAATCTTTAATGACAACAGCGGTTGGTACTGTAGGCGCAAGATTCCTAATTTGATTCCCGGCAGGATCAGTTTTGGGAACGATCTTTTCTTTTTTATTCTTATAGTGAGTCATATAGGTGGTATCCTGGATTTCATTTCTTCGTTTTGGTACACATAGTGAAGGGACTTCCCTAGTTTAAGATCAGATATCCCCAGGTATCATCAGAAATCCCCGTGAATGGTCAAACTTATTGCAGGACCTTGATAAACTATTTTTTACTCATAAATATATTTCTTCTTCACCAGGTAAACAAACGATTCGCTACAGCATCGTCTCCGGTGACGCCGACCACCACTTCACCATCGAGCCTCTAAGCGGGGTTATCAGGACTGCAGCCGTGCTAGACCGGGAGACCAGCTCTTCATACTTGCTCAACGTCAGAGCTGTCAATGGGAACCCTTCAAATTATGATCAGACTCAGGTATTTATTGGTTTACACATATATATTGACAACGCCTATCCCAGTCCGTTAGGCAGAGGCTACGGACTACACTGTTGTCATACTTTCGCTTCCTCACGCTCATTAAATCTGGGTACATTGGAAATGATTATTTTTAAGATCTGTCACCAACAAATTACACGTTGTTTTACAAGGCCAAGGCCGCGACGTCAGCCACATAGATAATAGTATGAATTTTGATTGATTAATTTTTTAACCCACCGCCACGGTTGTAGAGACACGTCTAACGTGCAGCCATGAAAACACCGTCAACCAATAAAAAACAAAAATTATATATAAAAAAAATGTTAAGGACACAACAAGTTGAAAGAATTTTCATTGTCGAACACTTTTTATAGGTAACCTATCACAAAGTCGAAAATTTTTTATCTGAAATAACTTTTGTCCGAATTTTGATTACACGGAAAACCGAATCATAACGAAACAGTTGTTCTTTCAGGATATGTTGAATGTTTATCGCAAAGACACGATTAGGTTCGGTTAAGTTAGGTTTAAAAGAAAAAAACATTTTCCTCTCAAAATTACTTTCGAGGTTATGAAATTTCGACCAAACGTTATTTCTGGAAAATGTCATTTCGTACTACTGATAGATATCTTTTTTTTATTATTTGCGGGATTTCTTCCATTGTAATCATTTATTATTTAGTGAAGTAAGCTAAATTGCCGTGCCCTTGCAAGATTAATGTTAGACCACGTTTTCTAATAGTTTTAAGTGTACAACATAAGGCAATGCATTAATAAATAAGCTAAGAAACGAACCCGCGGACTAGACGAATTTTTCTGTGTTTGTTGCAGTCTTTGTTTTGGTTTTTTAACGACTTTCTAGCCGTAGCGCCATTTGTGACATACTTCTTTCTTGTTATTGTTGCTTCATTAATTTGTAACTTAAATTCTAATGGCGGCTTTTTCAAATTTATCATTCCCTTCACATCTTCCAATAGTATAAACAACACAAAAAATGTAATTATATATTAATTACAAATAAAGCACTTTTTTTTACTTATGTGCCGCCGACCTAGTTTGTGTCTCTAGACCGCGTGATGGGTTAATCCATAAACAATGTTGCACCCTTAGAATAATAACGCATAGAATGATAGTTTCATATCAAACGAACTGTCACAAGTGAGGCAAAAATCAAATTCATGTAGGGTAGTTTTAATAGTAGGTTAATTTTCGGTTTTAATGAATATTTATATAAAAATACAAGTTGAAACGCGTTACTTTCTTGTGGAATGTGATGTTAGTATCTACTTTATGTTTGTCTGACGTATTTTTACACTCATTTACCGCACATTTCGTCATTTTTAGCTAAAATTCTTGATCTGTTCGCGGTGCAAGTTGACCTTGAGCACTGAAGGCCCGCCCGCTCGTGTAGGCCCTTTTGGCGCGCTTCAATTGGCCTCACTTAGCGTGTGCGGACTAGGTTTCTATGCGTTATTATTCTAAGGTTGCACCTATCTTGAAAGCGTAGGTAAGTACGTATGTTACAACCCTAAACTGCCTCTACCATGAGATTACTGTGACAGTTCTCGCTAGCGATCGCGTAAAGAATTTATATACAAAATGTTGTATCTTCTTGTGAGCGCTGCGCAATTGTCATACAAAATTGTGAAGTAATTAACGCGGTCACTAGCGACGACTATCACAGTAAACTCATGGTAGAGGGATTGAAACATCGTAACAACCCGTCAGAACTGAGCAGTACAGTGTACTAAAAAAAACGGACCTCAAAAGTTCATGGAATTACGTCCATTTACCAAGTTTTATTGAAATCGGTTACCGAAAAGTGCGCGATACCGGATTCATCCCCTAGTTTGCCACCTTTAGAGGTGGAGTAATTTTTTCAAATTCGAATTCGACCACTGTTGAGGTACCCTCTTTCCAACAAAAAAGAATCATCAAAATTGGTTCACAAATTTAATTATTGCGTCACATACATAAAACATATAGTCGAATTGAGTACCTCCTCCGTTTTTGGAGTCGGTTAAAAATGAAAATTATTCGTGATTTACATAGAGTTAACAACTTCCCGTTTCTCCATTTCTTCTTTTTCGTAATTAAATTGTTATTAGCGGTACTACACATCTTATTACTCCAGACCTCGTATTACGGATATTTAAACTGAAATTATTAGTAACAATGGAAAATTAACGTCTCAGCACACATCCCCTCTAATTTGCAATCGTAAACTTATAATAAGAAATAAAAGTTCCTAGGTAAAATTCATTAGAAAATATAAAACGTTTTATGGAACAAAATTGTACACATCGTTGATAGGGAAAATAACATTAAATGCAATTAGAGGACAATTAGAAATATAACAAGAATTGCGTGAAATTACATAGTGCATTCGCTGTAATAGGTGCAATAATTTATTTTTTTATTAATTATATAATAACTCACACACTCAACATAGCCCCTCACCAGGGAATCCCTGTGTCGCGGGCGCCATGAACACACACATAGACAACCAAAAATTGCACCCAAACTCACAAGAGAAATAAATGTAGGCTATACAAATATGTCTCCCGGCTCGGGAATCAAACCTGGGACCTCTGCGTGGCAGTCTGGCAAGGTAACCGTTCGGCCACGGAGACAGTTATTATGACGTAATTGCGTCTTTAATATTGTTTTAAACAATCTACTTAAAAAGTAGAATGCAAAATACTGACGCGCTGTTTTAATTGTGATGGCTACTACATGACGACCTCGGCGACCCAACGGTGAGCGCTGCAAAGATCCCGGGTTCGATTCCCGATAGAACCAATTTGGGAAATGAACTTTTCTATATTGGTTCACTGCTGGGTGTTTCGCTTAGTGCCCCTAAATGAGATCCATTGCTCTGTTATAAAGAATTAGCCACTTAAGACCAGGTAATTAGTATGTTTATATGGCACATTATTATGTCCAGAACGGACAATGAATTAATTTTGATAAAATTGGCGTGAACCGTAACTCTAGAATTGTTTATGAAATTCACAAAAAGTAAAACTTTTTAATTTTTTCAGGTCCAAATAACCCTCGAAGATGTGAATGACAACGCTCCAGAGTTTGGTATAACATCAGTGAGAGTATCAGTAGCTGAATCAGCAACGGTAGGCTCTGTTGTCTACGCAGCAAGGGCTACTGATGAGGATGAAGGGAAGAATGGACAGATTACTTATCATCTCGTCTCCGCCACTGGACCTCCTAGTACTTTTGCTGTCAATTCTCAATATGGATTAGTTACTTTGTTAAGGTAACTTTTAATTTATTCATTCATGGAAAATGAACAGCTTCAAAATACTTAACAAAAACAGGAAATAATATGATTTACAAGCACCCGTACTCCTTATGTGTTTATAACAAGCGCTTACGTACATAGTATTATTGTCCGGATTAAGTATATTATTAGCTTCCATCTTTTGTTTGTTTGCCGTTATCCATTTCCAATAAAATATCTTGTTAATGGAATGGTTTGCAGCTTCAGTCTATCCTAACATTTTATTTAAATTGCAATACTAAGATGTTTCAAAGTGACTTTATTAATAATTTGTATTTGGTGGTCACAATAATCGCCAAGCTCTATAAGCAAACTAATATTCTTCTACTATACATCCAGGCCTTTAGACTACGAAAATCTCGTCCGCCACACACTTGTGATCTCAGCAAGAGACGGAGGAACTCCATCACTCAGCGCCAGTCTAGCCCTTGCAGTCGACGTCCAGGATGTCAACGATAACCCTCCTGTCTTCGAGCATGATTCTTATAGCGCCAACGTGATTGAATCTGAAGCTCTTAATTCTAAAGTAAGTTCATCTGTTTAAATTATAGGAAGATAACCACAAGTTACTTTCATAGCTTACATGGAACAATAACTTGGAAAATTACAGAACTTTACATCATTGAAATATCTTCATAGTAATTGCAATGGATATAGAAAAACACGAAGATTCTGCTGACTACATACTGTACTCACTAACTGTTCACAATAAGGTTATAAATCTGAGAAAAATCTCATAGTCCTAACAAATAGTTCTTAAACTGAATACAAATTACACCATTAAGAGAAATGTCTGGATTTCTTGGCAGAACTTCTGGTTTTTTAGAAGTAATTTTAGTGCTTATGTTAATTTTATAGTATTATATTCACATAATGTGCCAGGATTTGCCCTTTTATCTGCCTCAACATAATATCTACCTAAAAGTAAATTCCCAGACGATATTTCTGTACACTAAGTAGAAATACATTGATGTTAAAATGATAAACGATAAAGAAGCTTACTCATTTTAGCAAATTGAAGAAAAACAGTTTCTTACAACATAATAACAATATCGTCATTTTACAGATATTAGAAATCCAAGCCGTAGACAAAGACACAGGCAATAATGCACGTATAACATACAGAATCGTATCTGACAATGCAACGCAGGAAGAATTTTTCAAAGTCCTACCAAATTCAGGCTGGATATATCTCGCCAAGCAACTTGATAGGGAAACTGCAGCGAAGCACAGAATGAGTATCACAGCTACTGACAATGGTATACCACCTCTGTCAGCAACCGCAAGTCTCGTCATAAACGTCATAGACGCAAACGACAACGATCCAGTATTCTCTAAATCTACATACGAGTTTCAAGTCGAAGAGAACCAAAAAGCAGGAGCGTTTGTAGGAAAGATTTTTGCCAAGGATGCCGATTTGGGTGACAATGCTATTGTAAGATATAGCTTGTTTCCTAGTAATACGAGTTTTAACGTACACCATGTTTCTGGTAAGTAATACTTTTACAAATTTTTAATATCGTTACTTAATTTTCTTATTTTCCATTGAACTTTTAACCCAAGGTCCTCCAAAACTTTGTGATACAAATGTGTAGCCAAGATCTTTACTTGACGATAAGGGTCTGTGTAGCTTAAGCAGCTTCAAATAGTTAAGGATACTAGAACATACATCAGCCGAGTTATTAATAAGAATGAAAAACCATTGCGAGACTCTTTATATCAACCTATATGAAAACTAGCAACGCGATGAGAAAAAATATATAATTTTCACATCATTTTGCTGTCTATGCAAATGTAATTTAAACATAAAACTTACCTAGTCAATTAAACAAAGCCGATATGTCTTTGTAACTAATTATTCAAAAAACAAATACGCGTAGATGCTATGTTATGTATTAATCTTAGCTGTCTTTAGTAATTTTTAACCCGTCATCCAGGCGGGTGGCCGTGCTTTATTCTGACCGGTTAATTACTGTACAAACTTGAGGTACCCACTAAGTTATCTGTACAAGTCAACAGCGGTACTCTCGTTATTAGATGCTATTTTTAGTTTCTGAATTGTTTGTTTATTATTCATTGTAGTCATTCCTTTTAGTTTACAGTCATACGTTAGAGCTTTAGAATGACAACCCCAGTTATGTATTTGTAATTTTTTTTATTAGTATTTACAAAAGCGAAACTTATAAAGCTCTTATCGGATTCATAGGTTTTTGCTTTACAAACACAGCAACATTTGGCTCTTCACAGATCCCCTGGTTACCGCTGACTTATAAAGCTCTTGTTTAAATATATTATTAAAGTAGCATTCGAAAGTGTCTAATTTTTTAATTAAAATGCACCTCGAACAAAATATATTATATGATATATCAAGTCTAATTTTAGAACTGTACGTCGAAGATTAACTTGTTAGATGGCTGGACAACGTTTTTTAAATATTCTCGCAAGCTTTAAGACAATTGATATGTTATTATTATATTGTTGTCTATTTCTTGAGTTACATGCCTCAACTTGTCTTAAACTACTGGGAATATAAGCGTTAAGTACCATGGTAATATAGTTACAATATTTATATCCTAATTGAATCTTTATCCAGTTTTTAAACGTTCTTAATTTATTTTATTGGCAGCAGCTCAAAAATATCTGTAGCTTCTTTAAGTTTTATTTTTAGAGCTTTTTAAAGTAAGTTCAATGGGATCGAAGTCGTTGGTCTACCTCAAAGCAATGCAATTCCTAATCCCGCGTCCATATTTGATCAACAGGAATCACTGCCGACCTCTCAACGGTATTTACACAGACGGCTCTTTTGAAAGCTAAAACCCAAACTATGTCCTCGTCGTCCCATCGACTGTACAGTACACACCGCTTGTCCAAACATTCTGTTAGAAGTATAAAGAAATAGGGAGCACGGATTGTTTATAGTGGGTTCCCATGAATATCGCTTTCTATTGCCATTTTTGGGTGTTCTGTTTAGGAGACGGAGGTATTCCGTTACAATTCAATTTGGTTTTGGATCTTCACAAGAGTCGGAATACACTCTGTCAATAAAATCGATGAAATTTGTATTAATTATCGAATTTGCAAAACAAAGAGAACTGTGAACTATTGGACATATTTAAAAATGAAAACATTACCATGTAAAAGCGCAAAAAGCACCTTCATTGTGAAAAGAATTTGATGGTATGCAAGAATTTTCGCGCAGCACCTCATGACCGGTTTCAATCGTGCACATGTACACTCATCGCCAGAATCGTGTGAGTTTTTCGCCTCTCAATATGGCCAATCACAAAAAAGGGGTGCGTTCGTTATCCGCGCACTAACTGACTGATGAATGGTGTCCGTCTCAATTTGGCTTATCGACGATCAACACCCTAGTTAGCGAATCTTTACCGAGACCTTACCCTCTACTGCCTCCGCTTGAAATTCGTAAATCATTCCCCATGACGTCTGTATGCTCACCAGATCGAAGATTCAGATTTGAACAGGTGCCGATACAATGTTTCGGTAGCAAAAACTCCTGCCTTTTATGCACATAATCGCATCTTGTTCGTTTTCTCCACCGGCAACTCAAAGATCGCTGATACAGATTCCTTTCAAACCATCTAATTTGCCTGCTTTATAATTTTAATCTCTTCTTATTAGTCAATCGTTTACGGCAATTTTTATCGAAGGGGTCGTACCACTAGTCGAACAAGCTATTCGCTACGGGAGGCAGTGCGCAATGAATTTATGTGCGTCAATTGCGAGTTATAAACGTCGTCGCGCGCGCATACTCCGTGACCTGCCATTAACTATTATTAAAATATTGCTATGTAGGAGCCTCGCTATTCTCTCCCCATGTTTTATTACGAGCCTTACCAACCAGATACTGTCGTCGGGCATTTAAAGCTCATACGTTACATTTGTACGTGTAGGACGTTGCACGGCCCTACAACTCGTTTGGTTGACGGATACCTTTTATTTTCATCTGTTCTGAAATGAATTATAGGCGTAAAACGTTGTTGGAGTAGAATTGCGACGGTGTGACTATAAATTGTTGTAATGATACGAATTAAATATAGCCAGTGGAACAAAAACGGTAATTGTGATTCCACAAAAAAAAGCCAACTTGTTCCTATTGGTCGGCAGAATAATTAAGTTAATTTCCTTTTTTTTGCCGCATTCGAAATAAATATTTCGCCGCTGATGGTGTATGCTCGGTCAGTATGCTTAACTTATATTATCAAAAAACAAAATCCGGGCCCACTACTATCTGTGGAGGAAAATAACGATGAACATTTTTTTTCTAGAGTTCGCTTCTCATCGCTCATTATGGCCGACCCTGTCACGTTTTATTATCTTCCGACAGCGCAGCTTCTTTAGCACAAATTTGAACCATAAGTTTATTTGCCAATGGCTCACAGTTGTTGCTATAAAATAACGTCCATGGCCCTTTCCCGATTCTGTCATCAGATTTTTAGGTTCCCAATACGACGGGGACTCACAGATAATCATAGGTATTCAGCTGCGGGCGATCTTCTTTATGAATCTCTAATTTCGGGTTCGGACATCATAATTATCGTTTCGAAATTGACAAAATTCTTACGCGGAGGTGAGGTTATCAACGGAAAATTTATTTAGGACGTGCGCATGAGCAACGCTTATTACAGGTCCCGGAATTTAATTAACAATTATGGAAACAAATTACTGTTTTTCGATCTGTTAACGTAGCAATAAACCACACCGTATTATAAATATTGTAACGTTTTTTCATGATTACATGCAACCATTTCTATTCATCATGAAAAGCTTACACCTTCAAGTTTAAGGATATCAATTAATAATGCTTTTTTTGTTATAGGTATTATAACTACTAAAGAAGTTCTAGACCGGGAATTCAAAGCTTCGTATTCTCTTTTTGCGGAAGCAAAGGATCAAGGGACTCTTCCCAGATCTAGCAGAGTTCCTATTTCAATAAAAATTACTGACGTCAATGACAATGCTCCAGAAATCGTTGATCCCCGAGAAGACGTCGTCAGTGTTAGAGAAGAACAACAGCCAGGTGCTGAAGTGGCTAAAGTAAAGGCTATTGATAGAGACAATGGAATTAATTCAACTGTTACTTATTCCATTTTGAACGAAAGAGACTTGGATGGAGTTGGTATTTTTGTCATTGATCCTAAAACTGGTGTTATAAAGACTAGTACCGGTAAGTGCGTCAAATATTGATATAAATATTTGTCAATTTATCTGCTACGCCTGATAAGTTATGTTATACACGAGTATTGAACAAGTTTTCTTTTTAGTACTAGATCACGAGGAAAGATCGATTTATCGTCTAGCAGTTGCAGCAACTGATGGAGGCATACCACCGAAACAGACTATAAGACAACTGAAGGTAGAAGTGTTGGATTTAAATGACAACAGACCTACATTCACCAGCTCTAGTTTGTCTTTCAAAGTAAGTTATTGTTATTAATACAACTAACTTATTATATTGTTGCTTCTTTAAAAAATAATAAATTTTAAAAAATTGAAGCCAATATTTCAAACTAAAACTAAACACTTTCTGATGTACGTTCCTAAACAAACATTCAAATTCCAGGTAAAGGAGGATGCTAAAATTGGCCACGTCGTCGGCACCGTAACTTGTTATGACAGCGACATTCATGACAACTTAGTCAACAGCGATGAAGAAAGGCAGATCTCATATTTGCTTATGCCCTTGACAACCGATCATTCGCCAGGAACCTTTGAAATTGACCGACGAACTGGATCTTTAGTTGTAGCTAGGCAATTAGATAGAGAAATTCAAGACGAATACAGGTTAGAAGTGCGCGCTTTAGACACGTCTGCGACAAACAACCCTCAAAGTAGTGCAGTTACAGTCAAAATAGAAATCGTCGACGTCAATGATAATGCTCCACAGTGGCCTCAAGATCCTGTCAATATCGAAATATCTGAAATTACTCCTATAGGAATGACCGTGTACAATTTTACGGCAAAAGATGCTGATGCAGGTTTAAATGGAGAATTAAACATCCACATAACATCTTCATTACCTCCCGCCAAGAATAGTTTCAAGTTGGATCCATTAACAGGATCATTGACACTTACTTCAACGTTGGATTACGAAACTTTGAAAGAATACTGGCTCATTGTGGAAGCCACTGACCTAGCAAGTAATGTTAGTGAAAGAATTACTACTTCAGCTACTGTTCACATTTCAGTAACCGATGCAAATGATAATGTACCCACTTTTGTGTCAGCTAACAAAGCTTCAGTCTCTTTGAGTACAGTATCTGGTAGTTTATACCAAGCATTGGCAGTGGATGGAGATTCGGGAGAAAATGGCAGAATATCTTATTACATTTCTGGTGGGAACGACCATGCTTATTTTTCTATGGAGTACGATAGTGGAAAACTAACATTATCTAAAAAGTACGCTTCAGATATTTCAAGAGTACGATTAGGTCAATATAAATTAAATCTGACAGCTTCTGATCATGGAATACCCTTTCCTAGACAAAGTCATATGACACTACTATTAAACTTACAAGAGTCAACAAATGTTCCTCCTAGGTTTACAGATTCATTTTATAGAGCAAACATAAGTGAAGATATTCGACCTGGCAGTTTTGTGACAAGATTAAATGCTAAATCATCTAGAGGCAACTCCGGTAAGTACACGACGATAATATTTTGTCTATGTATAATGATTATGGTTGACACACATCTGTTAACATTTTTATCTCTTATTTCAGGAAACCTTACTTATCAGATCCCGCCCGGAGTAGCTGAAGACCAATTCATAATCGATGAACGACTAGGCACTATCACAGTAAAATCTCGAATTGACAGAGAACAGCGGGATACTTATGTTTTCCCAGTGTATGTTACAGACTCCGGCACCTTCCAGTCTACATCGAATTTTGACGTTGCTACAGTTTCAATAAGTATTTTGGATGTGAATGATAATCCACCAACGTTCAAAACAGGTTCATGCTATCCGTTAGCAGTTCCTGAAAACAACGAACCTGAAGTTATTCATACCGTAGCAGCGACTGATAAAGATATTGGAGCCAATGGAATTATTACATACAGTATTACTTCTGGAAATAACGGAAATAAATTCTCTATAGATTCTACTACTGGAAAATTGACAGCTAGAACATTAGATCGAGAAACGCAGTCCAAATATCATTTAACTGTTACTGCGTTTGACCACGGATCTCCAGTTGCATTACAGGGATCTTGTAATATAACTATCATAGTTGAAGATCAGAATGATAATGATCCAGTATTTGACACTGGACATTATTCCGCCGCTATTCCAGAAGATGCTTCAATTGATACTTCTGTTATTAAAGTTAGAGCTACTGATGCCGATTTGGGATTCAATAAAAGAATTGTCTATTCTTTGGCTAATGAAAGTCAGGGTCTATTTAGAATTGATAATAAGACTGGAATCATCTTTACTACTGGGTAAGTGTACTAGTACTTAATCGACAGCTTCATCATTAAATAAACTTACACATTTTTACTATAATTCAACGTTATTTATTTTCTACTATTTCAGAACGTTTGACAGAGAGAAGACCAGTGTCTACCACTTCGAAGCAGTAGCAACTGATGAAGGCCGTTATGTCACGCGTTCCCAAAGAGTTTCAGTTGAAGTTACTATCAATGATGTCAATGACAATAAACCTATATTTACAAAATATCCATTCAGAGAACAAATAGCTACTTTGACTCCACCAGGACAAAGCTTGTTAAGATTATCAGCAACTGACAATGATGTTGGGATCAATGCTGAAATTTTATTTGAACTTTTAGATACAGCCAACCATAAGTTCCGCATAAACCCAACAACTGGTGTGCTGACTGCTACGCAAAGCTTGGCCAGTGAAAATGGAAAACTGATACACCTAAAAGTGGTGGCTAAAGATAAAGGAAATCCACCTCAAAGCTCTATCGGACTTATTGAGATTCGTGTTGGAGATTATCCTGAACACACGCCAACTTTAAACTTCAGAAATGCCACATATAATGTTACTATTGAAGAAAACATACCGTACGGCAGAGAAATAATACAAGTCACGGCCGTGCGAAGCGATGGACGACGTCAAAGAATCTTTTACGAGTTTGGTAATGGAAATGATCAATATGCATTTGAAATTGACTCGTACACAGGCGTAATAAGGGTGAATAATTCAGCAAATCTGGATTATGAATCGTATCCGGGTCCAAAGAGGCAACTAGTTATTGTCGCCCGTACAGAAGGTTCGCCAGTCTTATACGGTTATTGCGATGTAATAATAAATCTGTTCGACCAAAACGACCACGCTCCCAGGTTTACGCAACAACAATACATCGCCAACGTTTTGGAAGGGAACACTAAAGGCGAATTTGTCGTGCAACTTGCCGCGAAGGACGACGACCGCGGAGCGAATGCGAGAATCCTATACCACATTGTAGACGGGAACCACGATAACGCGTTTATTATTGAACCGGCGTTCTCCGGGTCGGTGAAGACAAACATAGTACTGGATCGCGAGATAAGAGAGACATACAAACTGACAGTTATTGCGACTGACGAGGGAGACCCACAGATGACCGGCACCGCTACTCTCCGCATCAATGTAGTTGACGTCAATGACAATCAGCCGACGTTTCCTCCGCCAAATGTCATTTCGGTATCTGAAGGTACGTTTGTTTTTAAGTTTTTGTATTCGTTTACGTATTCGGTTTTAAATTGCTGTAGGGCGGCCTCCCGACTTTTCGAAATAAATTGGTAGAGCAAAAAGCGTTTCACAAAGAGGGAGGCATTTTACATAATTTGTATTCTTGACTTCGCGACTGGCTTACATTGCGACTTCGATTCCAGCGCTGAGATTAAATAAAAGGGACTCCTTTAGGATCAATATTTATTGGATGGTATTACATTTTTTTCGACTGCATGTTTTAGCGGTGCCTCCCCAACGGTCCGCGTTCGTTCTCTTTTTTCGTTTCTTTCTTTTTGTATCACTATACGTCGACGGTTTTGTTTTAGAGTCTTATTTTGTAGATCGTTAAAACGGCAGTCAAACGAGAGAGTATTGTGAGCGTTGGCAGTATTTATATATTGTTTTTATCGTTTTACAGGAGCGGAAATCGGAACGGTTCTTACATCTGTTACGGCGAATGACGTTGACACATATCCAGCCCTTAAATACTCGATAATTCAAGGAGACAATAGTTTCTCCATAGACCGCTATAGTGGGAAAATTGTGTTGAACCAGCCTTTAGATTTCGAAACGAAGAAATTGTATAAAATAAACATAACCGCATCTGATAATGAACACGTAGCAAGAACAACTCTTACGATCAAAGTGACAGATGTGAATGATAATTCTCCTGTATTTGATGACATATCATATAATAGAATATTACCTGGTAAGTTAATTATTTCAATGATGTAATGCTTCTATCTAATTCATTTATTTATTTATTGATTTATTTAACTTGTGGCATATCTTACAATATTAAATAAAATTATTTATCTAATTTCAGAAGGTACCGGTACTCTGGAAATTGGGTCAGTCAATGCTAAAGATCAGGACAGTGGAGACAATGGTAAAATATCGTACTCTATGTTACGAGATACAAAAGGTTATTACATTGACACCATCTCTGGGACCATCTTCGTAAACTACAGCGCTTTGCCGTCGAATCAAAGAGACACGCAGTTAGCTGTTGTGGCCACTGACCATGGAAAACCTAACCGAAGTGCTGTGGCATCTGTCAGAATCAGCACTGGTGCTTCTTCGGAGATCAAGCCATTCATTGGACAAGATACATATAGGTATTTTTTAATTGCAATACTTGCCTGTGTAAGCGCGGTATGATTCCTAGTTACGATTACGGCTGCACAATATCTTCACTTCTTTTGCGGAAACATTAGATTACAAATGTATTGCCTTACTAATCGTGACAATTATTTAAACATGTCCTCTTTTTCAATTATTTATACTGTTTTAGTGTATATGTCGTATCTACTGTGAAACACTGATTTAACTGCAAAAATCATGAAACTTTTTTATAAAAAAACTGACCTGAAAAAAGTTCGTGGAATGACATCTATTTGCCAAGTTTTATTGAAATCAGTTACCGGAAAGAGCGAATTAATTCCCTAGTTTGTCACACTTAGAGGTAGGATATTTTCTTCAAATTGAAATGGGACCAATACTGAGGTAATTTCTATTCAACAAAAAAAGACACATAGAAATTGGTTCACAAATGGCGGGTAATCGCGTAACTTCCATGCAAAAAAATACACTCGATTGAGAACCTCCTCCTCTTTTATGAAGACGGTTAAAAACAGAGACACGTCATAATATATTCTTTCAGTTTTCGATAGAGGACAAAATGCTTACTAAAATAGTAAAACGAAAGCGCTCTTCGAATGCGCTCAGTAGCTCTAAAACAAAACTCGTTTTCTGTAATTTTTGCAAAAAAATGTATGTTAAATACTGACTTAACTTTACCTCTAAGAACGGTAAACAGTCGGGTTACCGGATAGGTGCGATATTATCAATCTGACTTTAATTTATTAGCACAACGGGAAATAATTTCTTATTATTTTCGTTTTTAATTACAGGATTACAGTCAACGAGGACACCGAGAAAGGTACCTCACTTCTTCAAATTGGTGGCATCAATGACGTCCTCAAGAAGTACAACCTTGAGTTCCACATCATTTCAGGCAATGAAAAGGACACTTTTGATGTCACGCTGGAAGGGGCACTGATATTGGTTAACAAGTTAGACAGAGAAACTCAAGATTCTTATACACTTGGTCTAGCGGCTATTGAACAAGGAAAAATACTGACTTACTACCAAAACAAGACGTCAATTACAATATATGTAACAGTAGCAGATGCTAATGATAACACTCCGACATTTTCTACAAATGATTTTGAACTAACTGTCAGTGAAGACGTTAAAATTGGTTATACGTTGACACAATTATCTGCCATAGATGCTGATTTGTATGGTACTCCTAATGCTGCTATTGTTTACAATATTACTTCAGGAGATGATGAGAAGTTGTTCTCCATTCATCCAAGTACAGGAATTTTAACTGTGAATAAGACATTGGACTACGATATTGGAAACACAGATTATAAATTGATTATAGTAGCTTGTGATCAAGGAACACCATCATTGTGTAATGTAGTCTACATCAAAGTTGCTATCATTGATGAAAATGATAACGCACCTACATTTCCCGTTACAGAATACTTTGAAACAATAGCAGAAAATGAAAGAATTGGGAATTCGGTTTTTACTGCAAGAGCTACTGATTTAGACAGAGGAAGGTATGGTACACTAAATTATTCAATAATACCATCTTTATCTAATTTCAATAGAAACGACGAGTCGTGGAAGATGTTTCAAATTGATTCGACTTCAGGACTGGTCAATACAAATGCAGTGTTTGATTACGAGCAGAAAAATAAATACGAATTTTCTATCAAAGCTTCTGATATTGGTGGAAAAAGTTCTACAGTCAAAGTAAGGATTGATATAGAAAGCAGAGATGAATTTTATCCTCAATTTACTCAAAAAACTTACAACTTCAGAATACCAAAGTCAGGACCGCTACCTGCAGGTTTTGTAATCGGTGAGGCTACAGCAATCGACAGAGACAAAGGTATCGACGGTCGTATTGTTTATCAGCTGTCAACTTCTCATTCATATTTCAAAATAAATAGAACCACAGGTGTCATAATATTAAAGAAAAAAGTGGAGTCAGTATCAAATCTTTTCGGATCCGATAAATCTATAAGTCTAGTTGTAACAGCTAGTTCTGGAAGACAAGGATCTTTGACCAACAAAACTGCAGTTGAGATAAGAATAGATCCTTTAGCGGTTGCATCGGATGTAAACTCAATGAACCCAGAAGTTGCGGCAAGTACAGGTCTTTCAGATTGGGCACTAGGGCTACTAATTGCATTTATTTTCATCATCATTATATTTGCTGCTGCATTTCTATTTTTACACATGAAAAATAAAAGGCACAAGAAAGTTAACAAACCAGGTCTCAACTCTGAGGGAGTTGGAGCAACTAATAGCTATGTAGACCCAAGTGCCTTTGATACAATACCCATTAGAAATACTGGAGCAGTAAATGCAAATTTTGCACCTCCGAAGTACGACGAAATTCCACCTTATGGTCCTCATACTGCAAGTTCTAATTCTGGAGCTGCAACCACATCGGAACTTTCTGGATCTGACCAATCAGGGTCAAGTGGCAGAGGCTCTGCTGAAGATGGAGAAGATGGTGAAGACGAGGAGATAAGAATGATTAACGAGGGACCATTGCAAAGAGAAACTGGCATCCATAGACAAGCAAATGGAGTAGACGATGATAATCTTTCTGATGTCTCAGTTCATAATACACAAGAATACCTAGCTAGACTTGGTATAGTTGACACTGGGACGGGCGGAGGAGCTTCTACTTCCTCACGAAGATGCTCAGAAAATGTGGTGAAAAAAGATATACTGCATCGGGGACCAATAGACTCGATGCATATGTTTGATGAAGACGGTGCTCATGAGAATGATATCACCAATTTGATTTATGCGAAATTGAACGAAGTTACTGGAAGTGAACGAGCGGACAGCGCTGATGAGACAAGTGCGGCAGTTGACCGAGCCATGGCTTTGGGAGCGTTCCCGAGCGCACCAGGAGATAACACCGCGGTACCAACCGCTGGCCCTTCCATGACTGGTAGTTTAAGCTCCATTGTACACTCTGAAGAAGAATTAACAGGCAGTTATAATTGGGACTACTTACTTGACTGGGGTCCTCAATACCAACCGTTAGCACACGTATTTTCGGAAATAGCTCGATTAAAAGATGACGCAGTGTCTCTTCAAAGCGGCAACAGTGGTGCTTCTAGTGCTAAAAGTAAAGGGACATCTATTTCTGCTGGTAAAAGTGTGCCGCCTCCTTTGTTAACTACGGTAGCTCCTAGAAGCTGCCCTGCACCTTCGTTGTCTTGTAGACAACCACAGCACTTATTGCCGAGATCTCCTATAAGCCATGATGTGCCTGGAGGGTTCTCAGCGGCTGCTGCTATGTCTCCATCTTTCTCTCCTTCCTTATCTCCTTTAGCAACTAGATCACCTTCAATGTCTCCTCTTGTCGGCCCTGGTTTACCCCCAGCACCAGCTAATAGAAAACCTCCACATTCGACAATGAGAATATGAATAACTATGTAGTAGATTGTAAATATAAATAACGACTGTTTGCCTCTAAGTATTGTTAGTATATTTATTCGACTGCCGATGTAATCGGGCTTGTTAACTGTATTCTATAGTATCATTTTGTGCATTTCTGCATCTTTGTGTATCCTGAACATGCTCAAAGTGATGTATTAAGCGCTTATTACCGATTTTCCGGTAAATGTAAATATCGTCTTCATTCGGGTTGTAACTTTAAACTTGTAAATATTATGTATATTTTAATGCCCTGTAAAAAATAAAATAAAGACTGCCATGTTATTGTACTTTTTTAAACAAATGATACAGCTTTACTGTAAGCTATAAGTATATTTTTAGACGCAAATTTATCTTTAGTTATGTTGTACGAAACCTTTTGTATGTTTTAAAGTGCAGTCACAAATTGTCTGTTGTGTACCTAATAGTATTTGAAAGTGAGTCCATTTTCCGTGTCTTCTGCCATTTTCTGTGATTTTCGTCTAGGCATGAGAATGCCTATATGTGCTCTGTTCACTATTAAATTCATCAAGAAACTATGTGATTTGTATCGTATTTCATCTAATTAAGTAGTATGAAGAGTGCGTTGTATATAAAATCTGTTCATATGTACGTAATTCTAAGTTACATTGATTGTCTGCGATGAATGTTTAAATGAAAAAATATAAATAAAATTTTAAAATCATTTTATTGTTTTCTTTGACGTCCAAAGTTTAGGAAAGCTATGTTACTAATACCATTTTCGTCTAAGACAAAGAGTATAAGGAGTAAGTTGCCACGTGAACAAAATATTTCCATACTTAAATGTAAAGTTATTACACTAATGAAATAAAAATTAAAAATAATGAAATATCACAGTTGGATCTACCTAAAGCTACTTAACATTATAATTGTGACACAACACAATCTTGGTAACAAAACTGCGTGCCTCTAACAAATTAATTTAGCACCGACAATTGATAATTTTGGATAAATAGCATACCAAGGCCCGTATTTATAAAACCATCTCAAATACAGGATTCAAAACCCCACTTGAGCCAAATGTCTTAATAGGTATTACTTGAGTGTATATCACCGTTAACTCATTGACATCGCACCATTAAAGAATTATCAAAATTTCCACTTATTAATAAACTTCACCCAAAACTAGCTAAGACTCAAGATCGTTGTTAAGTACTGATCAGACCAATACAAAGTCTTGGTTGATTGAGATTATATCATCCAAGATGCCGATGATTTTAATAATAGTATATTTAACTTGAGATCTAAGTAATATCTCAATAGACATGCACTTAATACTCAAGTGCTCTTTATTAATACGAGCCTATGATTTAATATAAAGTACATTCGAGTGATATTCGAAAATATTAAGATACAAAATCATGAAGAAGTCTTGAATCAATTTGAACTTCTAAATATTGAGTTTCCCTCTGATTGAACAATTGACAACATACAAAATTTTAATTCCAACAATAGTTTGCTAGCTACAATACTTCTCGGACGAATTAAAAAAAAACTTATTGTCCTACAAAAGGCTAATTTCGCTTACATAATACGGTACATAAATGTGTAAAATAATATCCTAATTCATTAACTAACATCCTGTAAAGGCATGTACGGAACATAAAATCAAATAACCTTTACAGTTTATGTCCATTGCCGCTTGACCCAGGACGGACAATATTTAGTCCTTAAAAGAATGTCAGTTAATAAATAAAGACCCTTATATATTAAATAACTTTAGTGATGGAATGGGTAATTTGAATTTTAATACAAGATTAAATGTATCTAAATTGTTTGATAAACAGTTTGGCTAAAATACAGTAACGATTGATAATTAACTAGACAATATAGAAAACTGATTAGACTTGGGTATATATTTTTTTTATTATAGGAAGATGACGTTAACCATTTGATATTTTATCGATTAGCGAAAGTGAAAAGAAATAGACAACTGTGTATTTAAATTCATTGTGATAATTTTATGTCCATAAATTCATAAGAAAGACAAAAAAAAATATTAAAAGGTAAAAATTTGCAATCTAGTTTGAATCAGTCTGTTCTAATATGTTAATTAGATACATGTAAGATGCAATTATTTTTAAAGAGATGAATAATTTTATTGTTTTCTAAATTGACACTGGAGTATAATATAGGTAAATACCATTTGAAAAGCACATAACATTGGTAAAAGAATTTTGGCAAGGTTGAATCCAGACTCTCAAGAAAAGTTCAAGAATAATTATCCATTATTATAAAAACTTAAATTTCCTCATAGTCACCAAAAATATTACTTATCAAAAACCATAATTGATTGCATGGTTTTTGATAAGTAATGGCTCGTTTCATAAACCCATGTGCTGACACCATCATCTAATTTTAAGCAAATCCTATTAACTGTAAGGTATCCAAAAATCATGAGAATACAAATTTTTGCAGAACATTTAGATTCTTATTTTTGGGATCTATATGATAACTAACCTTATAAATAAATAATCCATCTACAAAGATCTAGCTAAAACTGTGTTTGTTGATTTTGTTTTATGAGTATTGGACAATGTAAAAGACCCTAAAAATTCTAAAACAGTCAATAAGATTCAAAGAAAGTAAAAGGAGAGACAGATGACTATTGAGCAACACTGGTACATCCTGAACACCTAGTGGTGTAAATGCATATCAATAATGACGTCATCGGAGATAACAGACTTCTTACCAGGCGTATTAATGCCCAGTTCACTATTGGAAGTTTGGACGCCGTTAGGATCCTAAAATGGAAAGATAAGTTATAATTTCGTTTTGTTAATTTCAAGCAAATGAGGTAGACAGATTCGACATTTATTAAGTAAACGGGAAAGAAATGTGTAACAATGAGATCATAATTATCAGATATCTGTGTAATAGTAAAAGGTGAAATTGACAAAAATCTGAATCTTGATATTCGGTTAGATTCACCATTAGTCTTGCAAATTTGGAAGAAGTACACAAAACTACAATTCTCAATGCAGATGCAGCCTCCAGTTTTACCAAAATTGTGAAATCGTGGAAGTATAAAATATGTGAATGTACACTTACTATGGAAACAGCATCAGCTGCCATAAGTTCGTTTTTGGACAGACTCTCGACGATGGCTGCCGTGTAACAGTCGCCCAGCATGTTATTAGTGGTTCGTATCCGGTCTCTGGAATTTAAAGGAATGCGTCAATCAATATTTTGCTACGTAGGTGTAGGAAACAATTTCGTTTGTAAAAAGATCTTCACTGTTGATGTTGTATGTTAAATAAAGTATTTGTACTGCGCTTACAAAAAAATATCAGCTTCTGTCAAAGCGCAAAATATACTCACACCAACCAATCAACAGCGAAGAGCAAAGAAACATCATGCGTGGGCGCATCCACTGCAGCCAGTACCACTAACAGCAGAACCATTGCTGCTGACGGAACAGATGCTGACGACAATGACGCTGCCGTTGATGTTAGACTGAAAGAACGTAAACGGAAATATTTTGAATTTGAAATTGAAATTTTAGTTTATATGAGATTGGAACGAATGTCGCAATTTAAACTAAACTCCATAATTTCTTACTTTCAAAATAATTTATTACGTAGTTAAGTTAAACAGACATTAATACTCACAAAATAGTTGCTAGCTGGGCCATCCCCAAATGAATATTATTCATTTGACAAATAAATATACTGGCTACTGCAAGAAAGAGTGCTGTGCCGTCCATGTTTATATTGCATCCGATGGGGAGAACGAAGCGAGTGATGCGTTTGTCAATCCTAAGGGGACCTTCCATTGCTCGGAATGTAACTGGGAGAGCTGCTGCCCTGGAAATTTTTAATTGTACATAAAATTTACGTTTTTATTAATTTTCAACTTAACTTAGTCTTAGAGAACATTTTATTTACGTATTACGAAAAACTAAGAAGAAATTGTCAAAATGAAACGTTTATTGAATTCTACATTCAAAAGACTGAATGTAAACTTAATCAATAGCAAATAGAGACTTACGTAGAAGCAGTGGCAGCTGCAGTTAACATGGCATGTGACAATCCCCAATAATACTTGAAAGGATTTTTTCTTAAGAAAGCGAAGTATACAAGCTGCAACACAATCAGTTGGTATAGGAAGATACCAATCGTCACTGTTGCAATGAACCAGCCTAGTTGGGACAACACCTGACCTGTAATGGAAAATTAACTCCATAGCGTATCAACCCCATCTAGTGCGCCCGGAGCGTACTCGTATCCCTAAGTGACATAATCGCTTAGTTTTTCAGAATGTACCACTCTGTTCTGCCAAAATATCACCTTTTCATGACCAAACATGGTGATAATGAAATTACTCCGGTAACGTCTCATGCGTGATTACACGCCCTCGAGTGCCCCAGTTAGTATTCGAAAGTCAGCGATTAACACTGGTTTAGTTAGAGCATTTGCGCACTACATCCGAATCGTATCACTTCCAAAATGATGGTCCGAAATGTCACAGGGATCACATTGTCTCTGTGTAGTGTCTGTGACATCCGAAGTGGTTGCGATTTTTTAGATTTGTATAGTTTCGGATTCTGAATGAATATAAATGGGATGCAGTGAACAAACGCGCTTAGACGTAGTTTTCAATGTGTCGTTTCAGCTATATTAGTTCTTGTTTTCTTTCTTTCTTGTTTCATCGTTTCTGTGAATATCTCTGTGCCCCGTTTTTTAGCAATAATAATTATGGATACACACATAGACAACCACAAATTACACCCAAACTCACGATAGAAATAAATGTAGGCCATACAAATATTTCTCCCCGCCCGGAGACCTCTGCATGGCAGTCTGGTATGGTAACCGTTCGGCCACGGAGGCAGTTAACCAATAAATACTCATTGTACTCTACCGACTGACTTATTTTATTTAGCCTGGTCATAACTCTTATCTAATACTGCGATGGGAAATCTTTTGTTTGTATGCTGACAAGCAATATCGTGTGAACCAACATGATCGCAGTTCTACAACATGGCACCTAAACATTTTTCATTGTTTTTCATTTTGTTCTAAAATTTATTTGAAAAATGAAAACATTTTATATTTTCATATTAACGAAAACATCTTTAGGTGCCATTTTCGCTAAGCTATTATCAAGTTGGTCGACACGTCATTGCCTATCAGCATCCGTTTAGGACTATCCATATAACAAATAGATACTTAATTTTCATACTGTGTCCATACGTGACATGAACAGTTGAAAGTATAAAACACGGTTGCATAATAACATTTAACCAAAATTCAAAATTCATTTATTTCAGTCAAATATAGTCCATAATATTATAATAGTTACACAATTATTATGGAGATCCAACAGGTTCTACCAAATTGAAAAGAAACTAACACAAAAACATAGTCCTCAAATTAAAAGCGAATTAAAATGCAGTCTCATACAATGAAGCATAATCACCCCACAATTTTAACTGCAGTCAACCCTACCAACCACAATGCAAAGAATGCTATTTGAGCTACAACGGATATTGCTTAGCAACGAGGCAACTTTCTTCCTAAAAATAGCATGAAAACCATCCGTGTGAGCTTCTGCGAACATGCCTGATGCGCTGCAGCACCGTGGCAACCCCAACTACACTCTATACATTGTTGCACTGAATGACCAGGGCGTTAATTGTCTACTGCGAACAGTTGCTCCACAGATTAAACATATTGGTTTGGCAGAATGCTTTGAAAGGTGTGAACATGACCTTCTTTTTGAAGCACTCGTTTGCGTTTTATATAAATTTACTAAGGATCCGTACTATAGTGGCGAACTTGAACAGAAATCAACCTTCAGCCATAATAATACGATTAGCTTTATTATCTGCTGATACCGGTGTCTACCATAGTATATTAACAAAGCAAAGGGACTACTTCCACAAGAGAATCAGAATCAAAGAAAGCTTAGTGTACAACAAAGCTACTCTATGATCTTTACAGCTTCGCGCATCGTTGGTGCGCTATACACATGCCAACAGCAATATTGTTTCAACAATATTATCACTATAATCGAAAAAATTGTAACTTTAACAATAATTAATTAAAATCTCTTGGAAAAAAAATTAAGCACTAATTGCTTACCAACATTGTTGACCCCCAGAATCTTTCCAGCAATAACACTACCAATGCCAACTGGTGTGAACCACATGACGCCAGTTACCATCTTCATAATGACCTCGAAGACTGCTTGGAAGAAGTCAATAACCACACGGCTCTTGGGACCGATGGTGCCAAGGCAGCTGCCGAAAACCAGACAAAAGAAGACGAGACCGAGTGTGTTGGTGCCTGATCTGAAAATGAGTTTGATCCTTTATTAGAATTCGAATCAAAATAGTCAAATTAGGACTAATTTCTTCAGAAAATAGATTAGCAAATGACAATTTTAACAATAGTCTCTACCAAGTTGGCATTGAAGATTATTAAACAGTTTGTCTTAATTTAAAAAATTTAAAGAGTATTTAGACCTACAGGATCTTTCATAGAATGATTTGTAACTGCATTATTCATGTATCATTGTGTGTGTTACCATTGCAGTTATTAATTATAATGCGTGGTTCACAATTTCTAGAAATCGCATTTTATGAATATCTTTTCCAGTGTAAAACGGTTAAACTCGAGTTTATCCAAAAAGTAGATTTTGACACCATTGCATGTTTTTCGTAATATTACATCGTTTATTTTGACACTGGTGGTTATGCGAACATTGACTGTGGATATTATAGATTGTGCAAAGGGATTAGTGTTTTGCAAAAAATTAAGTTCTTTGTTCATAACTTTTTATTTTATCTCATAACCGCTCACGCGATACATGCAGCCGTAGACGCATATCACACCTAGAGTTGCCGATGATGATTTTATACCGATTTATCGGATATCGAAGTTATAACAGGTAAAAGAACTAATACTTATTGCTATTTCGATAACTACTCTAGCAAACCATAAAGTTTGTAATGGCTGGGTCTGTCATTAAAAAAAATAAACAACTTCAAAAATACGTCACGACAATCGTGTGTTATTGTTTGGGCTAGTGATTTCGGTGTTTATTTATTGAAAACATACCGTAAGTAGCGTTTTTTCAGTTTACCCTGAATATAAATGTTCACAAACTATACTTTAAGGTTTAATTTCATGGTAAACGTTAGAACCACTCAAACGGAATATTATCATATTTACCCAAGTGCACCAAAAATTTCATTAGTGCTTTTTAAGTGCAGGATTTGCGGTGTATTACTGCATTTTATTTGAGATGTTTTTATTGTAGTACGGAGGGTATTTATTTAGCAATGCAGAATAATAATTTTTATTTATAAAAACTTGTATTTAAACTGAATCCTTTTCTAATTTGCGAAACCAAATAGCCGCCATTTTGCGGTAGGATGAGCGCATCGCGTGAGCGGCTAAGGAAAAAGCGGTTAACATTATGGTATATCGATTCGCAAACAATTTTAAGAGCGTGAATTCGTGTAAAGCATCAGGTCTATTCGAAATCGATTTCATGTAAAAATGATTCATTATGAAATGAATCTCTTTCCATTAAACACAAGCTTAGAGATGTAGATGAACTGTATTTTTGATCCGTGTGAAAACTTTAACTAGCATAATCGTAAAAATGCCATTTCTTTAATAACAAAATAGAATTGAAACAACAAGCACAATAAATGATCAGATTCGAAGTAAATATTTCCATGTCTCGTACCGACTACTTACCGATAAGCTACCACTGGAACCAACCGAACAATGGAGTCGTTCTGCGTTTTGCCAAACGACGTTGTGGGCGGCATATACGCCGTGTACGCCTGCTGGAATGAGGCTTGAACTATGTTATCGGGGAAGATGTTTCTGAAACAATATTTATAAATTTAAAACCACCATTCCAAACATTAAAGTCAACAAAACTACCTATGCAAAAACTGTTGAATGTTGCCAGTTAATAACAAATACATTTTATGATTCGTTGTAATGTAATTGGTGGAATAAATTTCAAAATCTATATATAGATCAGAAGAATAATGGCACGTCTGTTGAAAGGAAATTATTATTGCATAACAAATACAAATCAGGGAACCTTTGTTTTGTTTAAATGAAATTTTTGCTTATCTCTCACATGAATAATTCTTGTCGTAGTCATTGTTTTTAGATTATCTTATCCGTGGAAGCTAGGAGACCACACAGAGTATCCTAGTTTAGGCTCCAGCCTTTATATATAACAAATCTTTTAGTTTACAACTGGTTTAGAGTTGTGTGTGAAGGAAATAAACTATATTATTATAACATAACAGGCAATGATTGCTATTCCAACCGATAACATTCAGAAACAAAACCAAAGAAAAAAAACTCCGAAAATTCGGTTTCATTCACGTTTTTGTAGTATATCCTGATCCTGTTATTCTGATTGTTAACGAAAAATTGTGTGACTCTGATGGATAAATTACGGAATAGTGTGATAAGAGAGCGTTGCGGCGTGGAAGAAAATATTGTGACAAAAATACAGAAAGGGATGCTTAGATTGTTTGGATATGTAGAGAGAATGAATGAAAGAAGATTGACTAAACAGCTTTATAGGGCGACGTGAGCAGGCAAGTTGGTAAGGGCCGATCAAGGCGAACTTACCACGACCAAATTGAGGCCATCCTAAAGAATTTCCAGGTCAAGAGTAAGCGTGTATGACAGCACTGATGAGGCGAAAGATATGTGTCAGGACCATAGAAAGTGGAAGACTGTTATTACTGCCTACCCAGGTGGGTGCAAAAAGCTGTGAAGTATATGTATGTAACGAAAAATTATAGTGACTTTTTAGGAGATGACTTATGCTCAAGCTCTAATAGGCTGACATATTAGGATGAGAGTTCGAATTAAAGTATAAAACATATTGGTTTTATGACGTGAAGTAAATTGGTTATGATATTGGCATAAGAACTAACAAGCCCAAAATATTAACAGTCACCACTAATTACGAAGTCATACTATTGCCAACACACGCAAGCTTCATTAATATCTGTCAATCAATTAATTTTGCACCAGAAGAGATGCATTGATCGAACCGCAGACAACAGATAGGATATAACTTTTATTAAAACAAATATGCCAACACTTTACTGATGAACATGTTGTGATAAAGAAATTCGACCTGTGTGTCTTCCACTAATGACGATAGGTAATTAAGTGTCATTATACAAACTAACAAAAGGTATTACCACAATTTTCAACTCGTAATCTTAATAATGTTTACAACAATTGCAAATTTTCTAAGTCAACGATCACGCATTGAAATTTAGAGGCGACTTTTTGTTAGACACTGTATAGTTCGATGAATTGGTGAATTCTTGTCCAATGACACGTACTACTAGAACTTCTCCAGTAAACAGATTTAATGATGTACCTAAATATTCGACAGTCTACATTTCAAAAATAAAGACTCACCGTCCTATATCCAAAACGCTGTCCAAAATTGAATGTTCGTGAGTACTCTCCGCTGGAGGTCCAACATCATATCTCAAATCAGGCTGTCCAGGATGTATTATTACGGCCATTACAATCCCCAAGAAAGCGTTAAACATTGACGTTATTATAAAGTAAAGAAGAGTTCTGCAGGCTATTTTTCCGCTCATCTTTGCGTTAAGACTTGCTGAGCCGGCAATCAGACTGGCAATGATTAGGGGCAAGATCATCATCTTCAGAAGTCTCATGAAGATTTCTCCAGGGTACGAAATAACTAATAGTGCTTCTGGACTTAGATTGTAGGCACGTAGACTTATACCTGAGGAGGAAAACTTGTAAAGAAAGTATCTTGAAAAAACTATATTTTCGGTATTCTGTTATGAAATAATTTAAGTTCAAATATTATATTACGTAAATTTATTTAAGCAATAAACTCTTAACGATTATAACTGTAAAGATAAGATAAACTTTAATCGCTTACAATAAACTGTAGTTTATCGTGTACAATATTAACAATTGGTATGATACTTTAATGGGCTGGAAAAATAATAACAGTTGTCTTTTTTATATGTATTTATGTATACTTACCTAAAGTAATCCCTGCAAATACCCCAACTAGGGTAATCACCAGCATAATATTCTTCATCAAACATTTCTTCAGCCCTTTCAGCTCTACAGGGGCCTCCCGGTCTTCCGTAGTCTTCGGCCCGCGATCTCCAGGGCCCATCTTCGCAAACAGATATTCTGAAAACCGTTCACTTTTCTCCATTGAAAGGGAATTTACTACCTACTAGATCCTGTTGGATCTAAATTTAATTTTTGGTTGGTTTGATTTATTCCTTTTTTGGCAATACTAGACTTTATTTATATATTTTAAGTAATTATTATCTTTATTGAAATGTTTTAGCTTTAAAGGACCATCTCTTAATTTATTAATGAACGTGTGTTCGTAACACTGAATCGCAATCTATTTTGTCTTAATATGATCCCTTTTTATTTTTTTCGCACTGTTTCCTGTTTTAAATTTAAGAATCTTTAACCGAACTATATTATGATTTAGGGGTTGTAATGCACAACGTCATATTCACGTCACTCAGTGGACTGGTAATATCAACAGCCTTCCTATCGAGCTCTGCATTTTCTTTTACTAAAAGTTCGTCAAATTCCCTTCTACACCGAATCACATTGACTTTGGTAGCGTCTATTGCTTCTTTACTTTAAAACGGTTCACCTATGTTTTCTCTTATACGAGCAATGGAATTGCTCACAATCGATTGGAGTGGCAAAATACTGTCTGGATAAAAAAGGAAGCCATATTGGGAGATGCGCGCGCAGTCATTGATTCCCCTTTGCATTTAGTTCCATTAACAGAGTTATGAATACTTTATTAAATTACGTATTTTGCTAAAGGATTATTGTATAAAGTTTCTTTGTTACTTTAGCAAGATACATATTATAGAATCTATAAAGTCATAGGCATGCCGATAGTTCCAACGTTCGGTGCTAGGTTAATAATTGCACATTGTATGCAAACGTAATAAAAATGCAACGTTCTTTGTTTTGAAAGTAGTTATTCATTGACTTAATTAAAACACCTTTTGCAACGTTAATTTTTTTAATTAATTCTTTGTTAATGAATCTTTTTGTTAATAGTTACTATGGTTCATAGACGATGACGCAGCTTCTCTCGGAATGCATTCCCTTTACACCTGACTACTTACGCGGTGTATGTATTTTGTGACGTCGTAACAGAGACGGATGTGAGACATCACATGCTAAGATCAAGTGTTTGGAGCTAAGCCAGATTGTGTCTTTGCTACGCTGATCCAAATACTTGGATGGTATACAATCTTTGATTTTTTTTTAAATACTAGACTGTAATAACAATTTGTAACTATTTGGAGGATGTGGATGGACGGAGAGGGTGGATGTGTGTGATGAATGTTTGAAGTTTTGTGGGAGGACGGATAAGCAACTATGATCTGTACTTGGTACTATAATACTATAAGTACTGTAATCCTGTGTAATTGTATGAAATAAATAAAAAATAATCACAGCACTGTACATACAATGTTGACGTCGTCCCGAGACGCCTGTCCATAACAGTTACATTGCCACTCAGACCTTTAAATACAAATATCTTAGGAGGACTGCCACTGCGCCCGTCACTCAGGGCCATAAGTTGGCAAGTCCCATGTGCCTGTAATTTCACCAGCACCACTACCCTTTAAAACCGGAACGAAGTAATGCTCACATTACTGCTTGGCGGCAGAAATAAGTAGACAGTACTTCCCTGGACGAATTCTTTCACAAGGAGCTCTACTGCTACTAAATACCTCTAGGATACATGACGCTTAACCCAAAGCGTGGTAGTTAACATTTAAGTTCCAATGCGAGGCTTATATAAGGAGAGGGTTTGAAGGCCGTGTTATCTAGCTGGCCGACGATAAATCATCATTATCGTCATTGTTATCGTATCGCAGTCCACTGCCGGATATAAGCTTCTCCCAATGTGCGCCATTTCGCCCGGTTCTTGATTTGTCGCATCCTATAGGAGCCAGTGGCTAGAGAGAGTCCTACACTACGTTTGCCAAGCCGTGATCTTCATTCAAGAACTCGTTTCCCCCATCAGTTCCTCGACAGATGTCGACGACCTTGGTTCTCAATCGGATTGCCCTGATTTCAATTCTTATCCTTCAGAGAAACTCCAAGCATACTATACTATAAACGTACTATAAATAAGAGTCTACTATGTTGGCTTCTAGGACAAATAATTATTAAACCTGGCTTGGCTTACTTTGTAATGTCAATAACAGAAAGAACTAATAACTTACGAAGTAATTCAACAACACAACACACGTATTTGGAATAATTCTCCAAAGTTATAAACTAGAAAACTCTTACGTCTTGTCGAACACGATTAGAAATGGGTAAAGTAGAATGTTATCAGATAAGTAACAAATAAGCCAATAAAACTAGAGTTAGAAGAAAACAATGAAACAGAGACGTCTGCAGGAACTTCAGAAAATATCGCGACAGATCAACAATAAAAACTGCCTGAATTTTGATTTGAAATATGTAGATCCGTCTAAGAGTGAAACGTTCATTTACTGATGAAGATTTTTTATAAGTGTCGGTCGTTCTGGGACTATTAGTGTTCACTACTTAATTTCTGGGGCAATTTTTATTATTTAAGTACTCGAGTATTGCCTCGTGAAATATTATTGAATAATTACATCATAATATACTTGTTTAGTAGCCGTAGATCTCCTGGTGAAAGAGTTCGTCCAGGGAAGCACTCCCACCTTATCTATTTCTGCCCACAAGCTGTAATGTCAGCATTGTTGTGTTCCGGTTTTGAAGGGCTAGTACAGGCACATGGGACTTGTCAGCCGATATCCCAAATTAGATATCGAACAGTAGTCCGAGCGTGACCGTCGTAACAATGGCTAGCGGTTAAGTTTATCACCGCTTTTAAACTACTAGCTGACTTATTAAATCAATATGTTATGTACACCTAGTTTAGTCACTTGAAGTGTATTTTGAATACCTAATGATTGGCCGCACATAGTGAGACTATACTTATTTGGTTACATGTCAACTTCTATACAATCTGTGTTTTCACCAATAAATTAATTATGAACATTGTTCATATTTTTGGAAACTCAGTTTTTAAGAAGTATTGTCGCAACTATTGCAACCCAAATGTCTACAGAAAATGTCACTAACATCTATAATGACCAATAAATTCTTATTGTTGGTGTTAATACAGATGTTCGGTTGATGATTTTGAAATCTATTCATACGCATTCCGATTTAATTGACTCGATTGAAAACATAATCGATGTAGGATTTTATATTCTAACGCTGTGATATACAAAACCAACTTCACTGAGCAAAAATTGAATTATAAATAAATAAAAATAAATAAAAATTTATTTATTTCCACAAATTGAACATTTGTTGCTTAAAACTTACGTAAAATTCGCTTACGAAATCTTTGCTTAATCGATGTTAAACTTCGTTATAACAATCTCAGCCTTAGATCAAGAGCTGTACAGTTTTTTTTATTGTAATAACCGAATACCATCTTTGTCTTCCTTTAAAATCAAAATAATGTCTTTGTCGAAAGTCAAATTTATGTCATATCCAAAGACAAACATAACCACTAAGTCGTCATACGTATGTCGTGTTTTCTTATGACTTTGCGTGAGATCCGAGTCGGACCACTCGCTGCAAGTCGAGCAATGAAGGTGGATTTATGTCTATCATGAGATTCTGAGAACGAAAAAAGCTGTTCGCAATCGACGTGCGCCATGTTTTTTTTCGACTTTTCTAGACTGTGACATCATCTATAGGGCTAGCATGACAGGGCGCAACTTGAATAGCAGAATCTCGCGCTTTATGTCGCTCTCGCGCATGTCTCGCCCAGTCGTGCCAGCCCTACTGATATATTTGCTGTCACATCCATCCTCCGTGCATGACCAGCCACATGACTGGCCAGATATACACACTGACTAGAGATTCGACTAAATATTCAAAATTAGACAGAATTTCAAACTTTCGGACAGAATTATAAGAAAAAATTGCTCCACTAGTATTGAATATCAATTCAATACAAATTGAATTACAGTTAACAGCCAGGGCTGGCAGCTGGCAAGTTACCTAACTGACACTTTCATAGATTTCTCATAGATGGCACTACGGCTAAACAGTCGTTGAAAACCGAATACAAAAATCCGACAATAAGCATATAGAAAAATTCGTGAGGTCTGCTGGTTCATTCCGTGGCTTAATAGAGATTCCGTTTGTTTTGCAATTAGATGTTTTGCGATTTTCCGACACCACCGAATGGAACAGCCCCCCATAGTTAGAGATATTATCTTTATTATAATAAATACACAATATTTTTGGAATATACGGAGACGTACACACAGATCTGTTGTTGGCACTGTACTATTTCAGCTTTCTAATTTGTGATTTCAGCGCAAACGAGAGTTGATATTTAAAAGTGATATAAGGCCCATTTGCCTGAAGAGTTGCCAGGGATGGATGGTCCTTATTTCGTCTCTATTTCTGGTTATGTACTCGATGCGGCCCAGTAATGGTTTATGTACGTTGATTACTTGATTACCAAAACACAATGAGCGATGATAAAGATTATAAGTGAAACTTGTTGTGAAGATCAGTAAGGTGACTTGAAACCTTCTATATGCATAAGTTAATGTTCCTCTGCTGGGCACTGATCTTATTTAAAGACAGACGATTGAGAAATCATCATAAGGATGACTGTATGTCAGCTAATGTTAAAAAAATAACTGAATGGAAATTTCGTTACTGATTGTCAATCAATCGTGACGATGGATATTTCCAGAGTAGGAAACGTTGGTTTGTTTGAAAAAACAAATATATGCAATTTATATACGAACAATATTATAACTAAAAAACCGATATCAAGAGTATTTGCCAAGTTTTATACACACAAAAAAATACAATCAAATTGACAACCTCCTCAAGTCCGGGTCGGTTAAAAACAAGTTTCATTTCTAATGACAACCTGTAAACTCGATAAAATAACTAGATTATAACAAATGAAAGTCCTTAAGACACTTTGAGGACCCAATATGTATGACATTGGTCTTACTGGTCCTACTGCCGGACACGGACTAAGGAAAAGTCAATAGCCATTGGAATTGAGGACTTCACACCTCCTAAAAGAATTTCCTGAACCTTTAATCATTTGACTCCTAGTCGTTTGTTATATTTTTCCT